TGATCTTCGTCTCGTCCATGTTCATCTTAAGGCCCACCCGTTGGGAGACACTGTTGAGGTCATTGAGCATAGCACCCAGGTCCTCCAGCGATTCTGCCATGATGACTATATCGTCGGCAAGAGACCGGACCGAGACGTGGTCCTTCATTGCTGGCCGTATGAGGAAGCTCAAAGTTGCTCAGAGAGCTATGGAGCGGGCTATGCTCGGTATTTCTCTGCGTGATAGAGTTCGTAACGAAGACATCCGCAGTAGAACTAAGATAACCGACATAGCTCAGAGGATTAGCATACTGAAGTGGCGATGGGCCGGCCATATAGCTCGTAGAACCGATAACCGTTGGGGAAGAAAGGTTCTCGAGTGGCAGCCTCGTACTGGCCATCGCAGTGTAGGACGACCCCCCACTAGATGGAGTGACGACCTGTGCAAATGTGCGGGAAGTCGATGGATGCAGGTGGTTCAGGATCGTACTTCATGGCAGTCTATGGGGGAGGCCTATGTTCAGCATTGGACTCAAACAGGCTGAAATGATGATGATGATATTAAGAAAATATTGCAATGGTCTGGTGATAGTTCTTTGTATAATGATAGTAAAGAGTCTAAAAAGCGTGTGGCAATTTAAACTTTTATATAAATAAATGGCAAAAATATATGGCAATGACGAAAAAGATGTTGGATTCAATTAAAGTGAATATCCGTTAACTCTACCTATCTCTACAGTTTATAACCGAGTATTTATGTAACATATGACGGTTAAAATTATAAAAGACTGTTAACATTTTATTATTAATAAAAAAAACTATTCGTAAACTTCGACTGCAGATCTACGCGTCACAAAACAATGGGCAGCGAAGAAATTGTCGATAACAAAGTTGATAGTATTGTTCCGATGTTTGCATCAGTGGTGACGTAGGCAACGTTTCCGTTTGAATAATAATCAATAAATTGGAAAACAATGATGTTCTACGTCATGTACACTGATAGCAAACTTTGAACAAATAGTACACAATTAGTTCAATGAGTAGTAGTAGTGAATACTTGTTTTTCTTTTCTACAACGTTTTAGACTAAATAGAGGCAAATAACCACGACAAAATTATTTTTTGTGTAAAAATTAAATTAACTTGCATACAGAACAAAAGCAGTTTAGGTTTATAGCACTTATCTAAACAGTGTTATTTACAGTCCACGATATAAGCAAAGATAAAGAGATAACCAACGCATGAACGTCATTACTATATTTCCATGGCGCCGTGATGCGGGACTGTAATATTTCACATTATCTCTGGACGTCAAAGTGGAAGATTTATTTCTGCAAAGGCTATTTTTAGGCATGCTTTTGTAAACTGAACATTTATAATATTCCATGCTACGTTGCCATGTAAAAATATCACTCACCGAGATGGAGAGTACAACAGCTTTCAAATTTAATGACACTGTTATGAAATATATTTAAATAATATAAGCACTCGTTATAGACGTAGCCTTTACGTAGGAAAAATAAAATAAAATTATGATTGTGTGCCTGTAGTCTTAACAACCGTGTCACCTACTAAATGGTAATGGTAATTCTTATCAACGGAACGTGTAAAAGTACAGGCATGTTTCAGATCGAATCATAGTGATCACTAAAAACACGTTCTGAGATTAAATTGTCGAATAGATACAGTCACGCAGTGACGAATAAGAATTTAAATGGCGACAAATTAGTATTTTAGAATCTTCACTTATTATTTCAAATCGTAAATATGTATTTGTAATACTCTAATTATTATAACATTAATAAAAAGTTGCATAAAAAGCTGAAATGAAATTTCCGAGTTCGAATAGAAACTAATAAAGTAGGTATAGCTTAATTTATATATTAATACTAGCTGTCCCGGCAAACGTTCTTTTGCCAAAAATATTAGTTTTAGGGAATTTGTAGGATAGAAGAAATGTTTGGATTGATTGTGGACCAGCCTTAACCTAACCTTACCTAAACTAACCTATCACTTAGGGGTATGAAAAATAAATAACTCCTGATTCTCAGACCTACTAAATATGCATATAAAATTTAATAATCGATCAAGCCGTTTCGGAGAAATTGTGCAACTAACAATTCACGTACCACAAGAAACAACTTAAAATTCTTGTAGGTATATACATATAGATAAAAATTATTGAAGAAATGGTCATTTAGTTATGAATGGTCACATAGGTTATGAACACAGTATATTTGTGATATTTAAAAAATATAAAAACAAATTCGCCACATGCCAGAATAATAACGCGACCACCCCTAATACTTTTCCTACTCTGTGTGCGTTATCTCATATACGTCATTAATTATAAATAAGAAATGGAAAGCTTAATGTAAATGATGCCAAAATGTACTTTTTAGAGGCGATAAGCGGCATTTATATATGTAGGTTGACAGCGAATTTAAATTAAAGACGCGCGTTCTCTATAGCTATAGCGTTCCTTATCACGAAAATTGTAAAAGTAATAGTTTTCCGTTACAATAGCGGACGACAGCAAATTTATCGTCTCAAGCCCGTGCTTATAGCACGTGCCGCACCAAATGTACTTGAGGGCAACCAGTTGCTAGGCGAAAATGCTCGTGGCGATTATGCAAATGGATACATCAATATCAAACTCGGACCAAGACCTACCTAACATTATAAAGTAAAATATACTTCATTGTACACCTAGAGACATACAGTAGTTTAATTAAGGACATATAGGTTCAACAGGTGGCCTTATCGCTTAAAAGCGATATCTTCCGGGCAAACTTAGGGCAGAGTACTCATTAAAGAAGAAAGCAGCTGAGATGTACTAAATAAATAATAAGAAAATTACACACATAAACAGAAATTAATATATAACAAGAGTAATGGATAACAGACAGTATATTAAGATAGTTATGAAATTTTAGATTAGTCTTAAATATGTGAAGAGATTCAGATTGTTAATATCTAAGGAGAGAAAGTTCCAAAGACGTATAGCAGTAACCGTAAAACAATAAGCATAGAAGTAAGAGTACGATAAGACTAGGAGTAAATTATTTTGAGAATGAAGAGAAAGTGAGTAAATCATTTAAATATATATTGTTATAAACGATTATAAAATCGAAAAAAGTATAAATTGAAACTAGTTTAAAATATTAAAATGCAATATTTTCCGCAGCCAATTCATCGGACAATTAGTTTTATCAGAAAAAATATATGTACCATTCATATCCGTGGAACATTTGGATGTACCTATAATGAAAATGAATAAATGGTGTTAATGAATATCCTGTGGGCACTATCAATTTCTATATTACAACAATTGACCGCCCAAAAGGAAAATAACAGGTACTCTATAATTTACTTATGAATTCTCTATAAGCTTTCTTCACAAACTTTAATAAATAGCTCGATATTATGGGATATGCTATCAAGTAAGTGATAAATACAATTGAAACATCTGTATATAATATCTGTGAACGAACTATTTGTAATAATTGTATTCATCTCATCGTTAACGGACGGATTCATAAAGTAAAGCTGCAGTAAATAATCCTATGATCTATGGAATTTTTCTGATAGAAGTTCTAGGTATTTCTAAACCTTCCGTCATTTCCTTCGCTTACGGTTTTTGGAATTTATCTATTCAATTGATCAAGAGATTAGATAAGTCCCTTACTCACCCACTATGCAAATATTTCATGAATATTATTACTATTGACGACAATGGATTTATTTAAATTTTCCTCGAAGTAGTTTCCTTGAAGTGTGTTTATGAGTACATGATTTTTCAAAGGATCATCATAATACATCCATTGATTCCATGATCATATACGCTATACCAGATAATCAAATAAAAATTATTCACACCTGTAGATGTTTGCGTATTTGTGAATCTATAAATTACTAGTTAAAACAAGGACTTCAAATCGCAAAGTATGTATCGCCCAAGTGATAATGAGCCAAATTTGACGTTCTCTAATAAATGTTCGAGGTCTTTTTAGTTAGAGGCTTGTCTGATAACAATTACCTTTATGTTTAATAATTTCTTGTATTTACGCGATTACACATTATAAATGAAACTAATTTTACGGATTTATCGCGTTTATTTTTAATTTAAGTTCCCGACGTTTCGAACCCTTTACAGCGTTCATGGTCACGGGTCACGGGGTACTACCATCAGCTTGGGATCCTATCATCAATAAAATTAAATCTAAACCCAAAAGAACCACTACTGCAAGACAAGATACAATTAGCTCCCTCTGCATAGATCGGACACAAAATCAATAATACAAAAACTGACGGTAGCCCAGGATAACTTTGACAATCAGACGTCTAACACCTCAGTCTGTCCCATGACCATGAACGCTGTAAAGGGTTCGAAACGTCGGGAACTTAAATTAAAAATAAACGCGATAAATCCGTAAAATTAGTTTCGTTTACCTTTATGTTTTATCAACATTCTGCAACCGATCGAAGTTGTCTGAGTATTGGTTATATTTTGTCAGAATTAACTTATTGTCTGTCTCGGAATACGTTATAAAGATAGCGACCACGTGTTGCTGGTAAGAATGTGGGGACATTGTTCGATCTCATACGGTATAAATTCTATTAGGGTCAAGCGCCGTACGCTTAGACTTCTGTATACATTATGTTTAATAAATCAAATATAAGTTCTTTTAAATATAGAGGCTATTTGCGAAGAACTCGGTTAAGAAAAGGAATATGAAATGTTATATCTGACATGAAAAAAAATTATGTAAAAAATATCATAATTACCTTCCTCCTGAGACAATACTCGTGATGAGTTCTCAGATTAAGATCAATGTTAACGACAGGGAAAGTTAACATATTTTCAACGCACAATATAGAGTTAGATCACGTACTACAACGCACAATATTGTAATAATAAAATAGGAAATCAGCACAGGAAAAGCTAGTCGACGTAAAAATTGTGCAATCCCTTAGTGATTAATGTGAAATCTTCTCAATATGACGAATTGAATGACTTACGTTTTCATCGATTATCCTCTCGAAGTTCTGAAGGTAGCCTTTGACTTGAATAACACCAAGGCGACTACATTTGAATGGGCACTGTTAAGGGCTTTCACGCGAACTACAATGAGCCCTGTAGCAACACGACCACTCTAGGTTACATCGGGTTAACGAGTGTCGCACTCGTGTCGTGTCTCTATGAATGGCGCTGAGCGCTCTCGCCCAGCGGCGGATACGCAGCGACGCCGAACAATGCTCCTGACGCGACCGTCAGCCCGTACACGCATTTTCGTTTTCCAATTATAAAAAATTAAAATGTAGACTCTTAAAATGTTCCCGTCTAAATTGACATGAGCAATAAAAGTAAATATCAATGAATTCCCTTAGCCGAACATAAAGATCATTGAATTTCAGTAATTTCAGGTTTGCTTTTTCTGCTGAGAAAACAAACGATTCTAATTTTTTGATTCTGTTGGATGCAAACTGATGTTAGTCACATTGTTAATGTCATATAAATATTCCATTATTTTATTAGTTGTCAAAGGAATTGTTGTTAAACGAATATTCCCTAAATAATGAACCATTTATTGATAACCCATTAATGACAAAAGCGCCATCTACAAATTTTAATAGAACTAAGACGAAAATTCATTTATGTTTAAAAGGGCTTTACACAACAGCATTCGTTCCGTTTTTCTTTTGACGGTCGTAGTACTTACGAGTTACAACAGATGTCGCAGTCTTACTTGAATTAAGAATGAATTAACTGTTATTTAATTTTAATACGATAAATAATTGATCCATTAACAAGAACGTACTACAATAATTTAATAAATTACAACATCGAAACAAATTCTGATGTATCTATTACTAAAAAAGAATTGTATCGATTTTACTAAAAACACATTGCCGCCAATAAAAACGATTAAATCAACCTGATTTGCTTACAATTTTCAAAAGTGGGTATCTTATTTTTTTTATTACGTTGTCACGTAATTTGCTTTACCGTATCGTTACGTTCGTCACTTGATATTAAAATTATTTGTCTCAGTGAAGCGGTGTGAAGTATTTTGCATATTTTAGTACTTGAATAAATTAAATACGGCAATGGATATAACTACAGTTTTTGGTTTGAATTATAATGAAGGAAGGAGCAATTCACCTGCTGTAAGTTAAGTTTGTCCATTATAATTTTTTTTTGTTTTTATGTTATATATTCAGTAGTTTTTAAATGCTTCATTTTTGATTACTTCATTAAATATCTTTTTCATTGAAAGGATACTATAAACCAATGGAGTGAAGGATTAGTTAACAACAAAGGCAAAACTGGTAAGTCCCTTTTGGTTTAATGGAATACTTCGGCGATTAATTTCCTTACAAATAATTAACTAAGGTAAAACTTATCTAGCACACGCGGCTTAAACCTTTGAAAATGTTTAACAAACGATGTGTATTTAGATTTTCATATCCCAATTACGAGTTTCTTGATTTTATTCGAGCCTATGTCTATTTTTATTTAAACTGAACGTATTAAATATAGTGAAATATTTATTTTACATAACATAACAATAGATAACTTTTATAATTACGGATGATTTTAACACGTTAATATGAGAAATTTGTTTGAGATATTTTTGCCCTTAATTAAACAGTTTTATGGTGAATTTTTTGTGAAGTAAAAAAAATATTACTTTTTATAAAAGTGAAAAACGATAAAATTTATAACATGAAATCAATGACGAAACAAATAAATATTCTTGATAATGTTATTTATTCAGGTTGTGGTTATATTAATGGTATAATTAATTTTATACTGCATTAAAGATTATGTCACTAACCACTGTAATGCTTTGTTTATAGTTATAAGCCGTGACATACCAGAAGCCATTTGAAAATCTTTAACTTTTCTTTATAGTAATAGTAATCGTAATAGTTCTCGTAGTAGTGTAGTATTAATATTTTCAATCTAATAAATGCAGAAACAGGGAATTGTTACATTTCAGGTTACAAAAAATTTTCAATTAATTAATCCATACTAATATTATAAATGCGAAAGTAACTCTGTCTGTCTGTTAATGAAATTTGGTACACAGATAGTCGAGAGCCTGAGAAAGGCTATTTTTTAATTGTAAAAAGTGTTTTAAAGGGTTCTTAAAGTGGATAGACATTTATTTAAAGTCTTTAACGCGAGCGAAGCCGCGGGCGAAAAGCTAGTTTTAAATAAACGCGAAAAGCACCATATAGAAACGTAAGCCAAATAAAAATAAGAAATATAAAGATATTATATATATATATATATATATATATATATATATATATATATATATATATGTTAAAATGTACATATATATATTAGAAACCTATTATATTTTTTTATAATTTTTTACGTTAAATATAGTTAAGCGTTGTTAAATTAATTTAACAATTGTTTTAAATTTTTATCTATTCTCCCTAGCTTTTAACCGGGACGATAGGTACTGACAAGCATGTCGACAAGAAATCTCCATTTAATAAAGTAGATGTCTCCGAAGGTGAAAGATGTTATAAAAAAAATACAGTTCAAATTGAGAACCTCCGCCTTCTTGGAAGTCGGTTAAAAAGTAGGTCACCTAGTATGTACTTATGAGTAATTTGTTATTTAGATGCATTGTCGGCGGTAAAATTGGACCCGGCAGTATTGGAAGCTCAAGTAACCATTGATACGGTTCCCAATACACCCAATTACGGATCCGAAGGGTCCTTTAACGAGCAGACCGTGGAAAAAGGTATTTGTTTAATCAAGGTCTCATTATGTCATTAATTCTACAACGGGCACATTGTACAACATTATTACCTACCTAATTATTTCGTCTGCCATATAAATAGGAATGAAAGTGATGTTACATTATGCCATATGAATAAGGGATCTAAATTCTTGATAGTTAGTATTTATTTAGTAGTGTTTATCCATGCGAAGCGTAGGCTTTTTTCATAAGATATTGTACATGTACAATAAAAAGAACAAATTTTACCTTAAGCATTTTATATATCGATGGCTCCAAAGTAAACTGCCCTAAGGGAAAAAATCAAATTTATACAGAAAGGTATTTTGGGTCATACATATTTGGGTAATATATCATTTACATATAATACATCATTTGGGTAAACTACTGAAGCATTTTTTTTTTGAAATTTGGCAATAAGTATTAGAATATCGTGTTATTTTACATGCTGAGACTAATTTTTGTGTAATTTAAATATATTTCAAGGTTTTGCACTCTCGACTTTTACATCGTTGATTTCTTTTTATTCATCCCTTTTTATTCCACGTAAAAATGCTTTTGTAATCTTCCGCCCATATACGAGAATTAGTATTAATATATGTCTTTATACTAAAATAAGTTATTAAGTCATAAAATATGTTATCAAATATATTATTTGCCTAAAATTTAATTTTGGATTTAACGTGAAACATTTTTTTTTATTTTTATTTTCATAGATTAGGTCAAAATAAACTTATTGCGCTAACAATTGGAAAAAGGCGTAAGCGGCAATTTCGCCCCTTTACGTAGGAGCCATCGATATTTGAAAACATAGCAAAAACCAAAGGATACGTTTGATCGAATGTTGGTAATGTGGACGCTTGATTAAAACTATACAAATGACTAAAGTATCTATTTTTGATAAAATGTATACAGTATCCAACAAATCCAAGTTAGTTTTGCCGCTGCCTATCGATAGAGCAATTCCGAATTGTTAATTATGATGTTATTCTCCATCGTCCTTCGAAGGAACATTTTATCTAGTGTAGCATTCTAATAAAGTGCCTAACAACTACTTATAACCTAAACATCAGTGACGACTACCATAAAATAAATAGATATACTCGTGTTACACGTTTTTTATGTTCCAAATCTCTTAAAATATAGCATAAAGAGGAGTAATCAAAACCTTAAGTTCCTCGTAAGGGATTGCAAAAGTTTGAAAATGCCGATCCTATTTATCGTCTTCTTCGTTAAATGTGTAAAAAGTTAAATATATTTTATTAAAATTAATTATATTTACCCTTACGAGTCACCGGTCTTAGATTAGTTAAGCTTTAAATATATTTTTAATACAAATGGTATTAAAACATTCAAAGATTTATTCGAAATTTGACTAAAATATAGCCACATAAGTCTGTGCCTGTAATTTGCCCAACAAACTTGCAAGCCTGAAGGTCGAATATAAATCGAAAATAAAAAACAAGCACGCAATATGCAGATCACTTCTTAGAATCTCTCTCTAAAGGCACAAACACTTAGATCGGCGAAGGACATACTTAAGGACGCAAGAGAGGATAGATTTTTCCCACTCCCTTCTTATATAATATATATAATCACAAATTTTTTTTTAACTCTAAAATATCCAAGTGACGCTATTCAAAACCAACGCAATGTTTCTTAGAAATTATTTTTTTTTTATAGTGCTAATAGCTGCACTTAAGATTGAACATTTTTTCTACATATTTTAATCAACGCAATGTTGCCCATATCTGTAATTTTAAAATGAGCAAAATAGGTACAGAAGTACAAAAACTATTACTTGGGGGCTTTAAATATTTATGCCAGTATATTTATGAATTAGGTGGGCAGACTGACCTTACTAAATCAACATCATAAAATTAATTAAATATTTTTATAGTATCTTTTTGTGGTAAAAGATATATTTTTTGTTAAAAAGCTCTTTGGCGATTTATTTAAATTTTTATGCAACCGTCTCTTAATTTAAATAGATGATTACCATTTTTGATATGGCGTCAACGTATATTTGGTAACGTTTTAAAATCAGGTAACAAATATTAGCATTACGACCTTTCTTTGACAAAGCCAAGTATCTTCGACGACTCTTTCCATTTATTTCATCATAATGCTCTAAAAATAAACGCCCTGAACGCTAATGACGTATTTACGATTTTTACTTTTATCGGTCAAAGGAATACATAAGATACAGACACGTGTAAGGCACTAAGTGAATTGATATTTGAAATTTTAATTTTCACTTCTGTTGCTAGTATATAAAGTTTCCATTTAATGAACAAATGGATTAACGTTATAGTTCGGCTTAAAAAACAGGTGTTTGTTACAGAATCATCATCATCAACATCATTTCAGCCTGTTTGAGTCCACTGCTGAACATAGGCCTCCCCCATAGACTGCCACGAAGTACGATCCTGAGCCACCTGCATCCATCGACTTCCCGCACATTTGCACAGGTCGTCACTCCATCTAGTGGGGGATCGTCCTACACTAGACGGAGTCACGACTGTAACACTGTTACAGAATATAATTATAAAATAAGTAGATACATGAATTCCAAGTGTAATAATAAAAATATTATCGATTAATGTCCTGTTTTTTTACTTTTCCTTATTTCAGTTTTGTTTTATACTATACTGAAATTATTCTACTTTTTAATTCTTGTCTTTTTCTCAAATATATTTATGATCCAATGTTGACTTTGCAGAACCATCGCAAATGAACTTTGAAGAGACGTTGATTAATTTGCAAGAAAACTCTCTGCTCAACCTGTCATCGCAGCAATGCGCTCTCCTGCTGATCTACGTGAATAACCTGAGGAGGCAACGTATCCAGTTTCAGAACCATGGTGTGAGTTACTTCTACTTAAGTCAACAAAACTATAACAACCTCTCTGTCACGTTACAAAAAACGTAATATAACGTTACTCCACCGTGGTGGTTTTTGTTTTAAGTCGCTACTAGATCAGGAACATGATTTAAGACTCTGACGTCGTTAATAGTTGGTAAGGTTAACGAAGGTAACTACGAACGAGGGTGCTATGTTTGGTTAAGTTTGTTGTTACTACAAATAGAAAACGGACTGATCAACACCCTTATAAAACTTACCACTTTCTGTTGTGTGAAAGAGACAAGTGGTCTGTAGACACATAAGTACGCAGGATTGGTTTGTCTTCTCTCACGCTTTCTACCCATATTTTCAGGAATCATTCATTCTATTTTCTAAAGCTTCTTTGTAGATGTGGTGAAAATGTATTTATCGCAGTGATTTTCTATTATTCGAAATTTTGTTATCAGAAATGCGTACGCTTGGTGGTGCCGGTTACGGCCAACCTTCAACCTCAGGCAGATATAGATCAGGGTTAATTTGTGCGTAAATAACAGGTTTCTAATCTTCATTAGCAAAAAATACCCGCCGTGGTACGAGTAAAATGAAAATAACAACAGCCTGCCTTTTATTATTAACGATGTGAACGTGGAACGTGTTATTTCGATAGAAGACAGAGACAGCTAGTCGATCCTAGACAAAGATGGATAGCAAATTAAACATTTATGCCAAATTTAATTCGCTCGGAAGGATTGTTAGCTTCACACCGCGGCGTTCGAGCGGTAGATATCATGTACACTAGCGTGAAGTGATAGTACTTTTCCCTTTTGTCTAATGGATGAGTATTTTTAGCGTTGTGACTGTGCACAGTGGGTGCGCACTTACAATCCGGCACCATTCTAAAAAAAAAATAACTAACCCTAATTACGAAAAACATTTTGCAAGGTCGAAGAAATTGTCGTGTCCCATGCTAGCGATAGCATCGCGGAGCCTAGCATGAGGAAAATAGGAGAATATAATACCCTCTTAGCAAAGAGGCCTTTGTCCAGCAATGTGACATATATAGGCCGTTCCCTTATGTTAGTTCACCCTCAGGAATGCGCTTTCTGCAAGAGCAGCGGCCAGTCTGCTATGTGCTACACGAGCCACAGCCTGAGGGACGGGAGCGGGAGGATCCGGTGCCCGATGCTGCGCGCCCTCAGATGCCCACGATGCGGGGAGAGCGGGGATCGGGCGCACACGCCGAAATACTGCCCCATCAAGAGGAGGTAACCGCAACTTTTTTATTATGCGATTACGTGAAGCCAGCTGGTAGTTTTTTTGTAAAATTTTGACGTTTCATAAGAACGCACAAGCGTCTATGTGAATAAAGATATTTCTCTTAAGTTCTCAAAACATACGCTTTACGATATCTGAAACTGGTTAAAAATGTTCTAGTAGCTAATAGGCCATATTTATTCTACTAGTATTCTCGTAGACGAGATCGACCAAACGATATATTGTATATATCTATATATACACAATAGATATAATTAATATAGATATTACTTAAAAAAAATTTACAAGCTTGCCTGGATATACTTGTCAATCTGCCCCATAAGGTCCGGCATTATTCTCATTGTACGTTTCGATGACGTAAGAACTTTTATAAAAACACTTCTGACTGTGGTAGGACCAGGTTCATAAGAGTAAGTACTACGCTAGGACCAGCGTGAAATGGTAGTGTTACACTTCTGCGTTTCGTCTAATGTGGCAACACATCTGTAACCTTTGCGGTTCACTGCTCACCAGCTGGTTCACCAGCTCGTTTGCCACCCTCTCACGTAAATAAAACATTTTCTCAGTACCTATAGTATTAGATTACAATTATTTTGTAATATAATGTATGTATGTTTGTCCTGTGTGTGACACTGACTTACTCCGAACGACTAAACTAATAAATATATTTATAAATTTTAAAATGTACAGTTGGTAGTATACTATATTTATATAAATTGTTGGCATCTACTCGTAGCACATTTATGTATTTGGCATCTGCATTGCGGTTGTTCTCATCGAAACTTCTAATAAATATATACACAATCAATCGTTCTCAAAATAACATCGGTTGGTATAAAGGTTGCATAGAAATTCATGCCTCACCGATCCGTTAGTCGTAGGCCCTCCAATCCGTTAGTCGTAGGTGCCGTGACTACAGACCCCTACCGCTAGGTACGTTCCGCCGCAGTTGGCGTAGACCACGACACGTCCTGGACTTCCCTGACGATGAGAAGACTATCACCGTCGACAGGATCAAACAGTTATATACAACAGAACACGCCGAGGCTCCTTCAGGAGCCCTCCAGCTGAGTCACCATAACGCGTAACCGAGGTTCAGGTTAGGCGCCCCAAACGCCCGGCCACCTCAAGTCCGGTGGATCTGTAAAGACCTCCCAAGCCAAAAGTGGTGGATGCTGCCAAAAATATTCATGCCTTACTTCAGTCCTCATTTAATAATAAAAATCAAAAACAGTGTCATATGGTAAAAACTGAATTAAAGATGTGAAATGTGAAAAAAAAACCGAGTTAACATGACCAGAACTGGAAACCGAATATCTACATTTACGTGATGATAACGTAGCCTTAATAAATGTAAATAAATATTTATATACCAAATAAAATCAAAACACTGAGCGTGTTTTGAAGAAAGACTTCCCTCTGGCGGAGGTTAATAATGATGAAGGCTGGAATATCTTCAGTAGTAAGCGATGATAGAAAACGTGCCCGGCGGCCCTCAGATTGGGATAGGAAATTTAAAACAAGTGTGTTTCATGCGTACAGGTATTTAAGATGTCGCTATTACCTTCATTGAGTGGTCAACTCGCAGCCCAGTCTTAAATGTACATGTATGTCATTATTGTACTCTTTCTCTTTTGTTTTGATGACTTCAATATCCACAATTACTTGTATACAACACGTATATTATATTATGTTGTGAAAACATGTTATCACGTGTTATAAATTCTCTTCAACTGTATGTTTTCCAAATAAAATAATATACTTATTTCGAAGATATGTGTGAGATATGAGATACGTGTATGGTGGACTATGTTCTAATACAGACTGAACAGAAGAGCCCTTTGCTCAGCAGTAGGACATAAAAAAAACCTGCTTTACTTTTTCCTTTTTAGCGTGTAAAACATTAATGTATTTTCTTTTAGATATTTTTTCGTTCCCAGGGTAATTACACGAAAGCTGATAAACAAGAGATATTAATTAACAAAGAAAATACCAAGCTTTTAATCTTTGTAGAAAATTAAGAAAAAACAACTGTGTTAATTTCTATTCTTCGCTCGGCTACGCTACGCTATCCATTAGATTTAATAAAAAAGAATTGGTAACCCTTATTGTGCATATTTAAAATTATTTATAAAATCCGGAATGACATGAGTTTGATTTAAAAAATTCATAACAAACATTTGAAGCAATGCTTGGCGCATCCAAGCTAAAAAGAAAAGTTCATGAAAGACGTTAAGATTTTCGTCGGTGTGACAATCAGCCGATTAGCTTAGTGGCTAAAGCGTCAAGCTGCGAGTGCCGAAGACGTGGGTTCGATTCCCACAGCGGCGACAATCTTGCTTTTTCTACAAATTTTAATTAGACGAAAAATATACAGAACATAACTACGATGCAGAAACACAATTTATTACAATACTGTTTTTATGACGATTTTCGATATCACAAGATAATTCTATTTCCTTAATTACACTGAAAAACTTACTTATAAAGACCAACTCGCCTTCGCCTAGTTGTAAATCATCTACAATATAAACGTAGATGTAAATTACCCATATATTATTTACTACATATATAATAATATATGTAATATGTAGGAAAACATTTTTCAAACAGGATAGGGATTATGTGTGTACAAGTTAGTTTATTTATAACAAGCTAACATGCGCGACTTCATCTGCGTTGCTATATTATACACCGCTTGCCTCACTTCTCCACATCAAGAAAATACGTCAAAGCTTATGGAAATCGTTGTTTTTAAAAAAAAATATTAATTTAACTTAAATGAATGTATCAAAATATATATTTTTAGTATGCCCGTATTACACTTACAGCTAAAAATTTTGTCGTCATCCAAGATTGATTATAATAAAAACAAAAATATTTCTTGTCGAAAAGTGATTTTCAATAAACAAATATTATAACGGTGGTAGGGCCACGCAGCAGCCTCGGCTGTTGCACGAATGGGCTCACAGAAGTCCGGCGTAAAGTGGAAGTACAGTACTTTCGCGTTTCCAATGGAGCCCAATTTTCAAAAGGTTGTCAACGCATCTGCAACCCTCGGGTGTAGCAGATGTCCATGGGCGGTGGTATTCACTCAACATCAGGTGAAGCCTCTGCTCGTTTGGCAACTTTTCACATAAAAAAATATAGGGAAGTTATCTTAAAACCATTGTTCCTATGCCGTTGCCACGCCACTGCTTCTGCTGTTGCACGAATGAGCAAGTTCGTCCTGGGCAGGAGTCAGGACAACAGGAGTGCAGTTGTAGCGTCCCAGGACTCAGTTTCCTTAAATGCCTGCCTTTCGCTTCTGAAACTCCTCGGGTTCTGTTGATGATGCCTATGGGCTGCAAGTATAACTCGAACCAAGTGCTCTAGAGTATATTTTAAATTTTTATTATGTAGTTAAAATAATAATAGAATGAAATAGTAGAAATGTTGGAATAGAAAAGGAAAATATTTTAATGATAATATTTGAATTTTTCTCTTTTGTTGCAGATAACAACGATGCGGAGATAAACCTAATACTTATTATTATTTTAATAAGTATTCAACTTTGAATAAAGTTTTGTTTTATTTTTATTTCTTTTTATTTTCTTTGGTGAATGTTACACCACACGCTACATAAAAACTGGCAAGATATAGCATGTAATTTAGAGGGACAGCAGCACTGAATATACGGTACCTATATTATAAATAAATTTCTCATATAATAGGAAGATAACTATGATTTGTCATCGACACGTGAAGAAGAAGAAAAAGAAGATAAGTAAAATGAATAATCAGTTTAAACTATACAGTGCTAAGCATAACATGTTTATATTTTATTTCGCTCATTTTAGTGCTATCTTTCCGCGTGCCATTTGTGATTCATAATTTGTTGATATGAGCTTTCAGAAATGCCCTCTGTACTGAATATTTGTTAAAGGCCAACGCTGAACGTGGACCTCCCACCGACTGCCACTAAGCACAATACTGAGCCACCTGCATCCATCGACCCAGCATATTTGCGTTTAGCGGTGGGTATGACAGATTTCTCAAAGCACAGTAGGACGTCAGCCACTAGATGGAGTGACGAAATTTTATTTTATTATGTAGTAAAAATATATTTAAACCAAAATTAATAACAATTACATTTTTTTCTGAAATGGACCTTAAATATATATCCCTAACTTTCATAAGAACATGATTTGTAAATAAGTAAAATATTACTAGGTACCATTTAATAGGCAAAAATAAGTAACATTTAATAGGTACCTAACTTATTAACATAGTTAATATCTGTTGATGAATTTGATTTTGTTTATTACTTTTCTATTAGTAGTTAGTGGTAGTTTTTGTAGTGCTTACTATGATTAAATTTAACACAAATCTTTAGGTTAAACCAAATCCATAACAGAACAACGCAAATATTTTATGCCTTTTTTCTAAGCAAATGAGACGAGGCTTATATGTACCTTCTTATTGTGCTGATTTTTTATAGCAATAGACCTTTGGCATAAGTTTATAGTAACACGGGCTATTTGCCAAAGAAGAGGTCGCGAATCCTAGGTAGATATAGGTGGTTAACTCTATAATTTAGCATTGCTATATTTTTCTTAGATTATCTGCGATTTCTTTGTCTTTTAAAAATTTCGTGAGAACTTACAAAATTACTCTCAAATCAAATACTAATAGAGCAGAACGCAGAAAAAGTTGCGCATTCGATATATTCTCGGATATTTTTCCTTCTACTATATCTTATGTTTGTAAAAATCATTAGTCGTGGCCTGAACGCGTGCTATTCGATTGGTGTTATTAAAAATAAACGCATATTACACTTTTTAATAAATACCAAAAATAAGCATGCGTACACCGCTAATTTACCACCTCTGCTATGTCTGAAAAAAAAGCATGCGATCAACATACTTGACAATGTCCCAACTTGAAGCACACGTAAATCGCGATCGTGACGTCATCGAATTACAGAAACTATTTCTGGACTAGTTGGTAGATTAGTTGCTCGTTTTTGTACTATAATTCATTTCATTGTCAGTTATGTACTACATATATTTTTATTAACATAGGTGTACAGTTTAAAATTAAATTAAAAGAATGGCTGATATGTAATTGTTTTTAAATGAATATTATTGTCGTTATATGGAAATGTACCTTTCTTATTATCTTTTTCTTATATTTTTAATTATCTATGTAACTAAAGCTAGCATTCTCGTCATCACACATCGTCTCTTTTTTCTGTTTACTGAAGTTCTTTTATTGATAAAAATTCCTAGAAGCAAATTCAATTGTACAACTAAATAATACTTAAATTACATTTCTCTTATTTTACGTTCGAAATGGGCAAACTGTTGACACAAACAATTATGTAACACGTAACATCGATTGTACACAAACGAGACCATAAACGATTATCTTATCTTTTCTTATGTGTATGTGTACATTTTTGTATGTGTACATAAATAAAAATAAATATTCCATACATGTTATATCAATCGTATTCATTATAATTATATTTATCATTTGTTTTTATTATTATACTTGTCTCTCTTTAAGTGTTTTTAGGGTTCCAAAACCAAAGTGTAAAACTTATTTCTTTAATTGGTTATAAGACAATTCGCCTATCCCATATATTTTTGTTTACACTAATTGACTTATTAGATAACACGGTGGTGCCGTTGGTAAGCTATTGACTTCGGGGCCGTGGGGAAAAGCAATTATGTGACCTTACATATAATTATTGTTCCGGATCTGGGTGTTTGTTTCCTAAGGAGGGTTATCATCAGGTTAGCGGTCGGACGTAAAACACAGCCAAAACGGTTTGGAACACGATTCACATGTTCTGCCGACCCTACCTAGGTGGGATAAGGGTAGGTCGTCACCTACCCTTATCCATTAGTGACGGTGACTTATTGACTCATTATTATTCCTCCTTTTTCCCTTTAAACCGGGTACGCGATGCAGTGATATCGGGTACAATATGTCGAGTTACAAAAACAAACTCATCTTAAATTGAAAAACAATATATTCTATGCACTATAATATTGTTGTACTTACTGAAACTAACCATATTTACCTTTCGCAATTGCCATGAGGGCGGTCTAGTTAATCTGAAATACTAAAAACACTGGTTTAAACCTTTTTTTCAAATAAGAGAGACATAAATTGCTCAAAATTGTAAATCCTTTTGATGACAATAAATGTAAAATGAGGCAATTGTTGCTCATACAAAAACACGTGTCGTGAAAATGATTGCTCTGAAATTAGAACAACGGCATGTGTAGGTACGCCACAGCCGGATTCATTTAAAATGTGAATTTTTACTACTTTTGAGTGGGGTTTCTATATTTAAAAAACAATATTATTGACTAGAAAGTGTTTACTAACGAATCAAATTTGTATTTCAGAAAAATACCACAAAGCATTATACTTTTATAACAATTTTTAAATTTTTCATCCACGTTTCAATACAACAGTCATTTTAATCTGGCGAAAAGAACAATGTTCATCCCAATTGGGTAAAAAATTAATTGAAAAGATAAGCAATAAATATAATTAATACAACAATATCAAATTATATATGCTTTTTTGAACATAAATGAGATGGCAAGAATTAATATCATTGAAAAACTAACCGATGATCACTTTTTAAACGCTAACATTTAGGTGCCGATTTTAATTAGACATTTTTATGATGCCGTACGCAAAGGGTAAAATGTTAATATTACTTGGACTTCGCTGTCTGTCCGTCTGACGCAGGCTATCTCATTAAAAAATTGTTAAAATTTTCACAGATGATGTATTTCTGTTGCGCACTATAACAATAAACATTAAAAAACAGTATAATCAAAAAATTAAGAAGCTCCCACATAACAAACGCGAAGCAGTTCCTAGGCAACCTATAGGTTACGACAAATATATTTCGCACGCTGCGTAGAACAACGTGACTTCTGCAAAATTGTAATTGTTCAGGACGGCCGATTCAAATTATAATTTTTTTATATTGGTCATAACTTTCTTATACATAGCAGTTGCTATTACAATTTTTGAGGTTTGTAATATGATTAGGTATATAAACAAACAATATACTTTTTGAATAAATAATTATATAAATTTAGGAAATAAGAGGTTTCAAGTGTAATAGTGACGTTTTCCTACGGAAAATGGCAAACACTAATGGGTCACAAGATCACATATACACGTTTATATAACGTCGTTCAACGGAAAATTCCTAAAAATAATAGGTCACACGTTCATTTATAACGTTGTTCTACTAAAAACTCAGAAAATATGTATGACATAAACGCATGTAGCACTGTTTTTAACGAAATATCCATAAAAAAGTGGGTGACTGTGCAATAATTATTAATTGACTCTAATAAAGTATATTATACTCGTCTATTACATTAGTAAGGTTAGTCTAGTCAGTACAAAAAAACAGTGTCTAAACGTACATACGTACCTTGTACTGCGGAGCACAAATCAGATAGAACGTTGTTCTATTCTGAATCTCAATATCTATAAGTCAGAAGAAAAAAATTAAAATATTATCTGAAAGCGTAGACAATAATTGAGACTATCCGACGATAAAATCAAATTCGTTCTATGTGACCACAGAACGTTATTCTACGCACGGTGCGATTAACTACCTATTTACCAATTATTTTATAATAAGTAATTGGAGTGTGAATAACGAGCGAGCGACGCGACGTCACCATTGTTAGCAGTTAGGTACGCGTGGTCGCCTGCGACCGTGGTTCTCATCTGAGGTCAACGACCCGCCAATAGTCAAGACCAGCAAATTACATGGAGCGTTGAGGTAGGGCGGAGGCTGGCGTGTCGTGAGTGGCGAGGGCCGGAAATACCCGAACAAATGCGCGTGTTCTAAAAAGAATAATGTCGTCGATATATTCGGCCTGCCCTAACACGCAATGTTTGAGATAATTTAACGTCGCACGAATTTGTAATATTGCTTATATTTCGTGAATACTTTAAGCATATTAATATGATATTAGTGATGTGACTGATTATAAGGGTCACAAGTTCTTTTGTATGGTATAATTAAGATAGCAATAGAATAACAGAAAAGAAATATCATGTGTATAAAATTATGCACTAAAATAAGAAACGTAGCGTGTATTTGGATCGTTGTATCATTAGGGTTTTATCAAATCTTTCTTTATGTTATGGGAGTGTAATAGATCATAACGAGAAATCTCAAATCTTACTCGCGCGAGCAATGTTTACTTGTGCGATTTAAACATAGTAACACTACGATAGGGAAGTAAGGAAGCCGCATAGTTGTTACGGAGCCAAGCGTGTTTCAACTCGGTTGTCATTTAGCCATGGCAGGTGTTAATGTTTATACTTTTACGCCATTTAAAATGCAACTTGCCGCGGAGCTATTTAAAACAAAACGACTTTATACAGCTCCGAATAAATGTTCCATTTAACGTCTCGTAAATATCACGTAATTTGGTCAATAGCTTACTCCATTCTAGT